TTTCTCCTTAGATCAAGATTGTATCTCTCCTTGATTACTTCCCATCCATTACTTCTTGTCCTGCCTTCAGGCGCTTTAGATACTAGATTGACCCTCTCTTCTTTGTGGCAGCCCCTTGGTGACATAATGTATGTCTTGAAAAGCAACACTTAATCCATCCCGGTCACTTGCTAGAGATTCAGAAATAAGGGAAGTAAAGAAATACCCCAGAGAAAGAAAAAAAAGGGGGGGGGCAGGGCAGGTCCCATCGCCCCATTGCTGAAAAGCAGCTGTTAGGCTCCCACCGCAGCAGACCACAACACTTCCGCATTCACAAAGCTCAGAAGGGGCGGGGCGAGGAAAAAAAGACCACGCCCCGCACGCAGACGCGCACCCGAGCTCGCGCGCCGCCTCTGGCGTCGCTCGCGCGCGGAGGGGGAGGACCGTTTTGAGGGGAGGTCACGCGCCGCGGGCGGAGGAGCCTCGCGGCGCTGATTGGTCCCCTTCTGAGCTGAGGGGCCGGAGCCGCTCTCGCTGCCCCCCCCCCGTTCTTTCCAGTCACGTGCCCCAGGCCTGGCAGAGGCCCTTGTTTATAAACTTTTTTCCTCCCGGGAGGGGGGGGGAAAGGCGCATGCGCCGAAAGGCCCCATTCATTCAGAAGTGCGTAACAACAGCGGAGAGAAGGCGGTGGGGGAGGGGCGCTCCTCCCCGAGCTCGGAGGGGCCCCTTCCCCGAGAGGGAGGGCCCCCCCCTCGGCCAAAAGGTTCCTGAGGGGCCCAAAGGGTCCGAGAAATTGGGGAGGGGAGAGAAAGAGGGAACCTCGAAGTAAATACGCCTCATAAGCGTGAGCCGTGAGGTAAAATGTCATCGCGTTGTGCTCAATTTTGAAGAGCCAAACGCCTCAAATTCCCCTCAAGTCGCGCCAGGAATTCCGGAGCCTTTTCATTTCCCCCCCCCCCTTTCATTTTCTAAACAAGCTGAAGAACGACACGGGAGTCCCCTTCCTTCCTCGGCAGCGTCTCCCCCTCAGCGGCAGCCCGCCAAAAAAAAGAAAAAAACGAAAGTCGCCCGTTTCCCACTTACCCCCAACCGTGTCAAAAACACTTCAAAACTTCTGAGCTACTTACCAAACCCGTCGCCATTACAGGACTCCCTACAGCTTTTTTTTTTTTTTTTAACCTCCCTTTCCTTCCCTTCCTCCCTCCCCGTTCGTTCTCGCTCGAAATCGCCGCCCCTTTTCCATCGGGCTCGGGCTCTGAATGGCTGGCGGGGACGCCCATCGCGGGAGTTCTCTCCGCTCATTGGACGACGGCGTTGCCCGTCAGGGTCCAGCTGAAGGGAAAAACAAGACTTGTTTTGATGCCTTCCGCGCGCCCGATTGGCCCGCGGGGAAGCCACTCAAGCTGAACGGGAGGCGTGAATAAATGCACCTTTGGCCCGCCCTCCCCGAGCCGAAGAGGGTTATGGGCGTTGTTGTTTTCTCTTGTCTTCTAGGCGCGTCCGATACTGAGTTGAGGAACAACAATTCCCAGAAAGCTCTCGGCCATTAGTAAACAAGAATCTTAGGGACACGTGTATTTCTGTCTCCAGCTGGTTGTGGCCCTCCAGCAAAAGTGGGGAATGGACGTTTTCTTTGCAAACCGAGGAACATTTCTTAATTTTTGGAATTAACATGGGAAAACAGGGAGCTTTGGAAAATTGCAGAATTTCAATGAGCCTTTGTAGGGCATTTTGGAAAAAAATTCCCTCCAGGGATAAGTTCAAGTTCCATTTAATTTTTAAATGTCCAAAATGGGTAGTTTTATTTTAATTAGATATGGGCCAAATTATTTAATATTTTTTAAATTTGTTTTTTAAAATTTTATATCTGTGTGTTTTATTCTGGCTGTACACCACCCTGAGTCCTTCTGGGAGAAGGGCGGAATATAAATTAAATTAAATTAAATTAAATTAAATTAAATTAAATTAAATTAAATTAAATTAAATTAAATTAAATTAAATAATTAAATTAAATTAAATTAAATTAAATTAAATTAAATTATTAAATTAAATTAAATTAAATTAAATTAAATTAAATTAAATTAGAAACTGGGCATCCTCATGTTAGAATCCTATACGGGTAGTCCTCGACTTATGACCACAAGGAAGTCCAAAGCTTCCATGGCTTGTGGAGGAATACACACAGCAAATACGGAAAAATGAGAAATAAGGAAAAACCTGCCTTCCATTGAGGATCCGTATACTGCACCAGTCAAAAAGAGGGCTGTGAAAATATCTACAGACCCCTCGCATCCTGGACGTAAATTGTTTCAACTTCTACCCTCAAAACGACGCTATAGGGCACTCCACACCAGAATAATTAAACACAAGAACAGTTTTTTTCCCAATGCCATCACTCTGCTAAACAAATAATTTCCTCAACGCTGTCAAATAATTTACTAAGACTGTATTACTATTATTCTTCTCTTCCTTACTAGTATCTATCTATCTCCACTTATTACTATAACCATGTTGCTTGTATCTTTCAATTTATATTTTTATTTATTTCCTAGTATGATTTGATAGTTTATTAGTAACCTTGACTATCACTAAGTGTTGTATCTTTTTATTCTTGACGAATGTATTTTATTTGCCTTATGTACACTGAGAGCATATATACCAAAGACAAATTCCTTGTGTGTCCAATCACACTTGGCCAATAAAAGAATTCTATTCTATTCTAAGCGAGGAAAGTGGGTTTTTGCCCCTGCTGGAAGAAAATATCCATCTGGGTTCAATTTCAAGTGGGGAGAAAGACCCTGGAAACATGGAGGCTGATTGGAAAGATGGTTTAATGATGAAAATGGCTATTGCTATAATGCATTGTAAGCCGCCCTGAGTCTACGGAGAATGGCGGCATATAAATTGGACTAATAAATAAATAAATAAATAAATAAATAAATAAATAAATAAATAAATAAATGAAGAACCACAAAGCACAGGTGTGATTCTGCAGCTGACCACTAGGTTTGATGAGCAAGTGGATTTTTATAGTTTGTTCATACAGCATTTTTTTTTTTTTTTTAAATTTGATTTATATGCCGCCCTTCTCCGGAGACTCAGGGCGGTTTACAATGCGCTAAGCAATAGCCTTCATACTTTTGTATATTTATACAAAGTCAGCTTATTGCCCTCACAAACTGGGTCCTCAATTTACCTACCTTAGAAAGGATGGAAGGTTGAGTCAACCTTGAGCCTTGGAGAGATTCGAACCAGCAGTAATTGCAGGCAGCTGGTCTTAATAACAGGGTGCTTAGACCACTGTACTATCAAGGCTCTTAATTTAGAGGCTTGTTTTGTGTGTTTTGTTATTTTTCTTTTTAAAAAATTTTTTTTATTGAAAATTATTAAAAATTACAGAAAAAAAATAGCAATATGGATAGAATTACAGAGAGTATAATACATATAGAGTTTTAAAACATCAATTTTCGCCTCGATATAGTACAAACCTCCATTAAACCTAATCATCAAAAAAAGGAAAGATTATCCAGAAGAAAGAATTCTCAACTGCTATGCAATGCTCCTATAAATATTTACCCACATTCACACTAAGATTAATATTTTACATTTTGCAAATGTAAAATGTTATTTGATTTTCATCAGTTCGTTTCACAAAGGCTGGCAATGAGTTGTTTTTTTTAAAAAAAAAACTTGTTTAACAAATGTAATTCATCCTAGATGCTGGCTTCCTTGGGGTTTTCATCCTGTCTTGAATGGATGACCAAATCTGCATTTGTAAAAGTTGGCCCCTTAAGTTTCTACTTGGGGTAGAGAGCTGAGGCTCTGAGTTTCTGTCTTTAGAAACCTGTTTCTCCTTTTGGGAAAATATAATATTCTGCCTTTTTAATATTTCCTGAAATATTTCATTCTTCTAATAGGGGTGGGTGCTAACTTTCTACACCCCATTCGTGAACTTTTTGGCCACTGCTGTTAAGCGGATCACTGCAGTTGCTAAGTGAATCATGTCGTTAAAAGAAACTTGCTGCCCCCCCCCTTGACTTGAGCTTGTCAGAAGCTGGCTGGCAACCAACATAAAGATATGCCGGTTGCCAAACTCACTTGAACATGTGACCATGGGATGCAGAACATAACTCATTTTTTCAGTCCCGCTGCAACTTCGAAGGGTCACTAAATGAATGGCTGTAAGTCGAGGACTACCTGTATCGGACTACCTTAGGACAGGTGTCTTTGAATTACTTCTGACTGGAGATGTTTGCATCAAAACTGTTCTCCAGGAATCCTGTTATTAAAAGTGGCTCCCAAGTATCCTTGTCTTGCCCTTTTTAATTTTCTTAAAACTCTTGTCCCAAAGGTGCTTTTTCAAAAGGCAGCTGGACTTTCTGGTTTCCAGCTGCCTCTTGAAAAAACACCTTTGGGATAACCGTAACTTGGAGGACTGAGAATCTCCATAGACATTAAAACTCTTATGCAATAAAAGCTCAGAAGGAAGAAAATACAGAAGGAAAAGCAAACCCAAATAATTATGATTATCTGGAATGTGTTTTTGGTTTCTTCCTTTGCAGGAAGGCCTGTCCTAAGTAATTTAAGATTAAAATTTGTTTTGCTCTAAAGTAAGGGTCTCCAATCTTGGCAACTTTAAGACTTCAACTCCCAGCCAGCAAAGCTCTAAAGGACTTCCTTAATATAATAAATGTGATTCTTAAAACAAGAACTAAAGGAGTATAGAAATACAACTCGCATTTGAGAGGGACGTGCGTTGCAAAATAAAATCCATTCACTTCTCCTTGAAGTGTTTTTGCAGACCACTGAGAATCTGTTCCTCTGGGTTTATCGTTCTGATTATTTCTAATCTTGAAAGCTGGATTTTTTTTTTCTTCAAGAAAGGTGCTTTCCTCCAACATGTTGTACAGCAGAAGCATCTGAAATCAAACCTGCTCTGCATCCCGAAATAGTTGCAATTTCTAAAAACGTAATTCATTTTAAGAGTCCGCTGAATAAACCAGCAACCTTTGTAAGATACTGAGTTAGCAATCGGGAGAAACTTGACTTCTTTGCAAGAACACGGCAAAGTGCAAAGTCATTTGAGCTATTAAAGTCAAAACATAATGGAGAATTTAAAGGGCACATTATGCCTAATGCAGCTTCATTTATTTTTAGAGCAATGAACTTTAAAGAGCCTATACTAGACTCTTTAAAAGTGTTAGAAGGAAGTTGGAAAGGAATGCTCAAAGGAAGTTTGGATGTTATTTAAACCCATCTAAACAAAAACACATCAAAACTTATTGCTCATTGGCACAGAAATGATAACATTATTCACGTATGAATTGTGTTTGACCATTAAAAAAAAAAACACACACCACCTAAATCTTATGTGGGATGGCTTAAATAAAATAGGACCGAGAATATTTTATCTGGTTTATGTCTGTAATGTTTATTTCTACATGTCCCGTAGCTCAGATTCCATCTGAAAAGGATATGTAACAATGGGGCCGGGGATCTAGAAAATGATAAAACAAAACTTTCAAGGCCTTTTCAATCCTTTGGGGTTCAGAAAGAAATAATGAGACGGAATCAAGGATGTTAACAGGATGAAAAAGAAAGTAAAAATGTTCTCCCTCATCCGACGATATGCTGGAGTCTTCAATACTTGTTCGTTCTTCAATAAAATGATCAGAGCTATCCCAAAAAAATCAGAACAAAGTCACAAAAAAAATTAGCATAAACCAATTTCAGTTCATAAACCGTGAACCGAATCACTATCTATCCATCCATTCATCTATGAATCATCTCATCTGTCTTTTTTCTTTCATCTATTTATCTATCTCTCTCTCTATCTCTCTATCTCTCTATATCTAAGATATCTATCTCTATATCTAGCTAAGATATCTATCTATCTATCTATCTATCTATCTATCTATCTATCTATCTATCTATCTATCTATCTATCTATCTATCTATCTATCTCTATCTACCTACCTACCTACCTACCTATCTATCTATCTATATCTCTCTATCTAGCTATCCAGCCAGCCATCTATCTATCTGGAAAACGAATGAAAGGGGAAAGGGGAAGTTGAGGAGATATAGACCTAAAGGAAAAGGAAAATAGTTTAAATATCCAGGGAAGGGGAGGACGCAAGGAATAGGAACAGGAATAGGATCCAGTTAAAATGGAAAAGACCACATTATTACATTTGTTGATTAGATTAATAAACCATCCATTATAAGTGATTAACTGTCTTGTATTATTGTTTCAGCTGGAATTCTGTACCCGTACTGTTTTTAATTATTGGTGCAAGATGAATAATAGTGTTGCTACTATTACGACTGCTACTGAACGATTTTATGGACTTGTCCCAAAAGGTACAGGCAGTCCTCGGTTTACGACCACAATTGAGCCTCAAATTTCTGTTACTAAGTGAGGCAGTCGTTAAGTAAGCTAGGCCCCATTTTGCAACCTTTCTTGGTGCAGTTCTTCAGTGAATCACTGCAGTTATGTTAGTAACACGGTTGTTAAGTGAATTTGCCTTCCCCATTGACTCTGCTTGGCAGGAGATTGCAAAACATGACCCCAGGATACTGCAACTGTCATAAGTACATGCCAGTTGCCAAGCCCCTGAATTCTGATCACGTGACCGTAGGGATACTGCCGAGGCCATATGAACTGTTGTAATTTCGAACTGTCACTTAAAGGAACGGTTGTTAAGGATTAGCTGTACCTATCAGGCCCAAAACCAAGAATGATGTGTTGATTCTTCCAAGCTGAGCTTTTTACTACTTTCATATTTATAAACAAAATCTTGCCCAGACTAAGGACTCTACTATCTGTAAACTCACAGATAAAATCTCAACACTAAGTTGCCTCTTAACCAGGGGTGAAATCTACTTACCTTCCCTACCGGTTCGGAAGTGTGCACGCCATCATCACGTCCGATTTTTGACCCCCTGTGCATGCACAAACCCGTCAAAAACGGATTACTTCCTGGTTAAAACCAGGAAGTAACGATGTCCGGGCGGGTGGGCGGAGCCTCGCGCTGCCGCCGCTACGGGGTTCACATGAGCCGGACAGAACTGGCAGGATTTCACCACTGCTTTTAACTCCTTTGGGATGCAACCCCCACTCCTCCCTCCAGGAAATCCATCTTACTACACTCCACCACAGTACATCTAAAAAAAATTCCTTTTTTTTTTTTAGCTGGCTAGGAATTGGCAACATAGCTAATTTCGTTCAGCAACACTGCTAACCGGTTGACTAATAAAGACATTAATTTTCCCTTTCTGAAGTCATCTGGTTGCAACACAAATTTGCTAAATAGAGCTTTGGAAAGTAGTATATTCTTTAAAACTAACGTCATTCCATACGGGCCATCCATTCCGAAAAAATGTCACCACGGAAGACAACTGACACCGATGTTATTATTCAAATAGATCCGTGATGGCAAGCCAATGGCACGCGTGCCACAGATGGCACGTGGAGCCATATCTGTGAGCACGCAAGCATTGCCCTAGCTCAGCAAACAGACCGTTTGTGGCCTCGGGAGAGCATCTGGGGGGGATGGGGAAGGCTGTTTTCGCCTTCCCCAGGCTCCTAGAAAGGCTCTGGAGCCTGGGGAGGGCGAAAAACGGGCCTACTGGGCCCACCATGCCATCTAGGGTTGCCAGGTCTACTTCCAAAAAATAGTGGACAAGCGGGGTGGGGGTGGGGGTGGGTAAGTAGTAAAAAAAAAAAATTACAATTAAATTATATATTTTCTTACAAACATTTTAACACGTATTAAAATAATCACTTCAAAACTTTACTTAAAATTCAAAACATCAAATATAATAATATGTAAAATATTAAATTACATTTTACTTTGCTGTCGTGTGTATTTTTTATTTGACTGCGCAGCTTTGATCAATTCTTTGTGTTTAAGGAATAATTCTTTAATTTCAGTACAACATTGAGAAATATTAAAAAATATACAAAGTTCACTTCGAACTGATGGTATAAGCAGTCGGTTACGTTCGTCAGTCCACAAATTTCCCATGACGCTGAAAATTCGTTCAACGTTTGCATTTGATACCGGAATTGATGCACAATACTGGAACAGTTTCAGTAAACTCGGAGCTGGCTCTTTCTTGAAAAAGTACGTCCACTTATCAAGGGATGAATCGCCCTGCAGATGAACATAAACTTCTTCTAAGGCAGAAATTTCATCGAAGAGAGTGTTGGGTGGAAGTTCTTCTCGCCATGGTGATAATAACCAGATGTTCGTCATTTCTTCTAAAGTTGGAGGATTATTGCGATCAATTAGATTGAAATAACTTAGCGTCTCATATACTGAATTGGTGAAATTATACTTTTCTAGGTACGCAATGGCTCTTTGATACACGTTAATGACTTCTTTCTTGAACTTTTGCACTGCATTCTCAGGCAAATGTTTTTTATGTAAGGCAAATAAAACTTTCATTCCAAAAAACTGCTCATCGTATTTTTTTTGCAAAGAATCACGCAGTTTACACATGATAATGTGAAGATCACATGCAAGAATTTTCTTGCTTTCCAGCTTCAGTAGGGTGTCTTGCATTATTGACATGAAGAAGTGCGTGAAATATAAATACAATTCTGAAATTGTTGGTTCATCGTCCTTTGCGAGTTCATTTTTCTGATCCGAAATAAGGTTCCAGATAACCTTATGGCACTCATCAGATCCAAGAGAAATAAAATACGATTTTAGAGGTATCCAGTTTAAAAGAAGTCTTTCGACCACTTTAAACAAACTTAATCAACGTGTTGGAACATGGCGCAAAACTTCAAGGAATTCTGACTCACAAAACTTACGTACCATTTCATCATAAAGCTTTTGAATAAAAAAAATGTCCACTATTTTATGAAAAAAAATAGTGAACATAATGTGAAAAAAGCGGACTGTCCGCTCAAATAGTGGACACCTGTAAACCCTAATGCCATCACGTGCCAAAAGTGCGGAGAGCACGGGGGGGGGGTCACGCGCGCATGCGCGGGGAGGGCGGGGCATTGAATTATGGGTGTGGGCACGCACGCGCATGACTCTCCTGACCTCCCCCAGCTTTTGGCACGCAATGGCAAAAAGGTTAGCCATAACTGAAATAGATTGTGTTCAGTAATCAGATCCAGCAGAGGGAGTCCTAATAATAAAAAAAAAAATAGAACGAAATTCATTCAAGCGTGCGGTGCGTTTTTTTTTTAAACCTCCGTCCTTAAGACTCCATCGTCATCGAGTTTCATTTCAAAAGCCGGTTATGTGCCCTTCACTTAGTAATGAGGTAAAACATTTGAACGACAGACTCACGACAGATCATTCTGTATTCAAAAGTTATTTATTAATTTTGTGCATTGTAAATTTCACACTTCGGAGGTACCATAAAAAAAGAGGCCTCAGTTAAAAAGACAGAACGTTAACCATCAGGAAACGGGAGTGGCACACAAACGGGGAGAATATTTTCAAGATATATTTTTTTTCTCTCTCGTCGTACTGCTGCTCCCACCCATAAATGTGCAGAGGGAGATTATAACGCTCTTAAAAGTAAAACATAGGGTGCGCGCACACATATATACATACGTAGATCAAAATAATAATGCCTAAACTTCACTGAATTTTGTAGTGCACAAATAATTAAACTAAGCTCACTAAAAATCACAAACAGGAAAATCTTGTGTAGTTCGTGGAAAGCTGATCCACTTTTGGCTAGCTCAAAAAACGTATGAAATTGTTTTGCCTTCCTTTAGTTCAATATAATTTTTATGTTTTTCAAAGCTACAGCTTAATCTTCCCTGCCTCGGGTTTCCAAGTTCCTTTTTAATAGAGATGTAAAGGTTTGATTTTATGTTTTGCCAACCAGATAGTCTACTACTGAGCTATCTTGAGTTGACCCCCGTAGACATTTGGTCTGGGGGTGGGGGTGGGGGGTCAAGGCACCAGGCTAGAAACCGGGAGACTGGGAGTTCTAGTTCCGCCTTAGCCGGCTTGGTGACTTTGGGCCAGTCCCTTTTTCTCTCAGCTCACCTCACCAGGTTGTTTCTGTGGTGAAAATAGGAGGAGAGAGGAGTATTGGTATGCTTGCCACCTTGAGTTATTGTTCTGACTTAGGCTTCCCAAGAGCATGAAGCAGACTCCTTGTCCCGACAAAAAAACCCTTTTTATTGTTACTGTGTTACTGTGAATTCCTCTCATTCACATCCGGTGAAGTCTTTCAAGGGAGAATTTACAGTCACAGATCTTCTCTGGCTTGGAGAGCTGCCAGGCCGATATCTTCAAAACTTGGCAAGGAGTCACGAACCAATTAAGTGAACTAATTGCCTCCTGCAAACTCCCCTCCCTTTTCGCTCCTCTTTTATTCCCTATTCATCGTCCACCTGTGGCTTTACTCCTGAGTCGGCCTTGTTCTTTAGCTGTTCCCTTCTCCTGGCAGCTCTGCGCAGGCGCACATTGGGAACAGGCTCTAGCTGTTCTTCTGCCCCATTCATGTCCGACTCCGAAGGCAGCTGACAACTATCAGACGGCCCTGGCCCCCTCTCTGCCTCCGACGCAGAGCCCTCATCAGAGCCTTCCCCAGACTCCAAGACAGGCCCATGTTCCTCCTCAACCTCTTCACTCTCTGAATCTGCTGCCAGATCCGCTGGCGGGCCACAACAATTATCTATAAAAATAATAAAGGTGGGATAAAATAAACTCTAAATTAAAAAGACTACTTCAGTTCTTATCTGAACAACTTAACATTTTGACCTCAAGACAAGTCATGATAGCCAGGACAGGATGCCCTAGCTATGTTTGTTAAGATCTCCCCATATACAGATAGCCCTCGACGTGCGACCACAATTGAGCCTGAAATTTCTGTTGTTAAGTGAGGCATTTGTTAATTTCGCCCCTCTTTATCTTTCTTGTCACAGTTGTTATCTGTGGATTGAGCATCAAAAAGTACATTAAAACCTCCTTGCCAACACAACCAACTCTGAAGTGAATTGACTTAAGTTACTGAGAAGTGTGTCCACAAGGGATAGGGCCTTAACACTCACTATACTCGACAAGGTTGTTAGATAATAGTGCAGACGTTTGAAGCACTTTAAGTATAATGTCAAATGTAATGTTGGCAGCACCCTCTCTGTGGGCACACGAGCTGTCGCCTCAGTTCAGCTTTGCCGTGCATGTGTGTGCGCCTCACGCCAGCCAGCTTGGTGTTTGGGTCTCTGCCGTGTATGTGCAGTGGGGCGGGGCGTGTGTGTGGGGTTGCACGCGCATGCATGGGGCGGTGTGTGTGCGGGGGATCACTTTTTTCACTGCTATTAACGTTGAATGGTCACTAAATGTTAAGTCAAGGACTATCTGTACATATATGCCAGTAGAAGGAGGCCGCCTTGCTGGACTGTGGCACCTAGCTGACCTTGAGTTACCTCAGAAATTTAAATTGGGAAGGAGCCTAGGACTTAATACAGGTCGTCCTCGATTTACGACCACAAGTCAGCCCAAAATTTGTGTCGTTAAGCAAGACATTAAGTGAGTTTTGACCGACTTTACGACTTTCCCTGCCGCTTTTAAGTGAATCGCCACAGTTGTTAAATTATTAACCCGGTTGTTAAGTGAATCCGGCTTCCCCATTGACTTTTGCTTGTCAGACGGTTGCAAAAGGGGGTCACGTGACCACCCCCCACCAGGATACTGCGACAGTCATAAATATGAGTCAGTTGCCAAGCATCTGAATTTTATTCACATGACCGTGGGGATGCTGTTAACGGTCATCAGTGAAAAAAATGGTCGTAAGTAACTTTTTTCAGTGCCGGTGTAACTTCAAATGGTCACTAAGCAAACTGTCGTAAGTCGAGGACTACCTGTATTTGGACAGGAACCTGCTGTTGTGGTCCACCGGTGGCTTGCGGAGTTGGCAGCAGAGTCAGACAGTGAGGAGTCTGGGGAGGAACATGGGCCAGTCCTGGAGTCTGGGGAAGGCTCGGACGAGGGCTCTGCGTTGGAGGCAGAGATGGGGCCAGGGCCATCTGGGAGTTATGTGCGGACTCTGGAGCCTCCAGAGTCAGATATCAGCGAGGCAGAGGAACAGGGGGAACCTGTTCCCAGTACCCGCAGGTACAGAGCTTCTAGAAAGCAAGAGCAGTTAAAACAAAAAGGATGACTCGGGAGTAAGGCTTGGAGATGATTGGCCCCTCCCATAAGACATAAAGGTGGAACAAAGGCACATGAGCCTTTGCAGGAAGCAACTTTGTTCGTGCTGGTCGGTTTAAATTCTGAAGCTCCGTTTTGACTCTGTACTCCGTCTGGCCTTGCAAAGCTAATTGGTAAATAGGTCTTTGGCAGCGTGTCAAGGGGGATAAAGGTGGGTGCTTATCAGCCTTATCCCAAAGAGCTGTGGCAGACTTCTGTCGGACTCTTTACAAACTATTTGGGACTTATTACAGGCTGTGAATGAACAGAATTCACAGCCGTTGAAATAAAGAGGGTTTTTGGGACTCATTGTGTGCTTTTACTGTATCAGGAAGCTTCGGTCAGAATACTTGCCAGGAAGAACCAGGGTGGTAGGCTAAAGAAAGGAAACAACAGTCCCAAGCTCAACCTTCCATATTGCTACTGGGTGTATCCGCGAAATAGGACCTTTGCTCAATTCAAGGGAGACTCTGCCTGTTAAAACACGACAATGAGCCCCATTATATAAATCCAATTTTGCCTTTTCACCAGTGCACAGGTAACAATTGTTCTCAGGTGTGAAAACAGTACATCCACAATTAAGTACAACAGCGAGAAACTATACAGCATCATTATAAACCTCCCACATTCTGGAAGGTGGGTATACAAGCGTCCTTCATCGAGACGAGACAAAAATCTTATAAAACATTTGTTGGTGTAAAAAAAGGACTAATAATCGGACAGACTTGAGACCAGACGGAGGTCATAAAACTTACCCAGAACACAAGGCCATGCTTTATCTGTTTGTTTGTTTTTTCCAAATACAATTTTTTTTTTTAATCTTTACAAAATGCCACCTCGAATAATACCGATTCAAATCAAAATACGTACAATCGAAATCTCTCCTAAACCGCGTTCGTGCACTCGGGTACCCCTAAACAACCTTAACCTATCACATTCATTGGACATGTGGACAAAACGAAATTTGTTTCTGCCGTTCAATTCTTGGAGAATTGACCAAAAACTGGAGTCAAACAGGAATGGGGTTCAATCCTCAAAACTTCTGCAATATTGTGTTAAGAGATCCTCAGCTGAATCGCAATTAGACATGTTAAAATAAAAAGTTGTCGATATGCACCAGGGGTGAAATCCAGCGGGTTCTGACAGGTTCTGGCGAACCGGTAGCGGAAATTTTGAGTAGTTCGGAGAACCGGCAAAAACCAACTCTGGCTGGCCCTAGAGTGGGTTGGCAATAGAGATTTTGTAATATCCTTCCCCCAGGAGTGGGGAGGGAATGGGGATTTTGCAGCATCCTTCTCCCAGGAGTGGGGAGGGAATGGGGATTTTGCAGCATCCTTCCCCCAGGAGTGGGGTGGGAATGGAGATTTTGCAATATCCTTTCCCTGCCATGCCCCCAAGCCACGCCACGCGCCCCCCCAAGCCACACCCACAGAACCGGTAGTAAAAAAAAAAATTGAATTTCATCACTGGATTGCATATATGTTTGGATTGCAATAGTGGGCATCTTGGACTTCTTAAATGAAATGTCCCAAATGTGCTTTTTCGAAAGGCAACTGGAGTTTTGTTTTTCCTTGAAGACGTTTTGCTTCTCCTCCAAGAAGCTTCTTCGGTTCGTAACGAACTGAAGAAGCTTCTTGGAGGAGAAGCGAAACGTCTTCAAGGAAAAAACCAGAAAGTCCAGTTGACTTTTGAAACAGCCCATTTGGGACAACCATGACTTGGATGACCGAGAATCTCCACAGACACTTAAAATTGAGAGACTTATAAGTGATTTACAAAAGTCGTTAAATTTTTTTTAACAAGTGAAAAATCCTTCCAAATCTATAACATCGCACAGGTAGTCCTCAACTTACGACCACTATTGAGCCCCAAAATGTAGGCTGTTAAGTGAGAATTTTGTTAAGTGAGTTTTGCCCGGTTTTACGGCTTTTCTTGCCACATTTGTTAGGCGAATCACTGCAGTTGTTAAATATTTGGTAACACGGTTGTTAAATAAGTTGGCTTTGCTTGTCAGATGGTCACAACAAGGGATCACATGACCCCGGGACACTGCAACTGTCATAAATGTGAGTCAGTTGTCAAGCATCCGAATGTAAATTATGTGACCATGGGGAGGCCGGCAATGGTCGTAAGTGTGAAAAATGGTCCTGGGTCACTTTTTTCAGTGCCGTTGTAACTCTGAAACGGTCACTAAATGAAGTGTTGTAAGTCGGGACTACCTGTAGAAGGTCGTGCATTGTGCCACCGAAGGCTTTTGAACCTGATGTTCTTGGAAAGCTGAAATGCTGGTGGACCCAAATGCTTTTAAGGAAGGGCCCATTCAGGGGTGAAATGCTCCCGGTTCAGACCGGATCGCCCGATCCGGTAGCAATGGAGGCAAGTGGTTCGGAGAACCAGTAGCAAAAATCCCTCTCCCCCCCCCATTGCTCAGCTGAGCCACGCAATCATCAGAGGCTTTTTAAAAAATTTTAAAAGCATGTTTTCTACAACCTCTTTGACAAAAAAAATGCTTTTAAAAGTAAAAAAAGAATGCCTCTGATGATCGCGCGGCTCAGCTGGGATCATCAGAGGCTTTAAAAAAAAAAAGAAAGAAAGTCTCTGCCGATCAGGCTAGTCAGCTGGGATTGTCAGAGGCTTTTAAAAAAAAAAGAAAGCCTCTGCCAATCAGGCAAGTCAGCTGGGATCGTCAGAGGCTTTAAAAAAAAAGCCTCTGCCAATCAGGCAAGTCAGCTGGGATCGTCAGAGGCTTTAAAAAAAAAAAAGAAAGCCTCTGCCGATCAGGCAAGTCATCTGGGATCGTCAGAGGCTTAAAAAAAGAAAAAGCCTCTGCCAATCAGGCAAGTCAGCTGGGATCGTCAGAGGCTTTAAAAAAAAAAAAGAAAGCCTCTGCCGATCAGGCAAGTCATCTGGGATTGTCAGAGGCTTAAAAAAAGAAAAAGCCTCTGCCAATCAGGCAAGTCAGCTGGGATCGTCAGAGGCTTAAAAAAAGAAAAAGCCTCTGCCAATCAGGCAAGTCAGCTGGGATCGTCAGACGCTTAAAAAAATAAAAAGTCTCTGCCGATCAGGCAAGTCAGCTGGGATCGTCAGAGGCTTTAAAAGCATTTTTTTTACAACCTCTTCAGCCGAAGAGGTTGTAGAAAAAATGGTTTTAAAAGTAAAAAAAAAAAAAAAAAAAAGTTGGCCACGCCCACTCAGTCATATTACCCCCTCCCCCACCAAGCCACGCCCACAGAACCGGTAGTAACAAATTTTACATTTCACCACTGGGCCCATCGAATAATCTGCCTACGCCGCGTACCGATACATCTGAACGACTTTGTACAAAAGAAAAAGGCAAATAAAAATAATAATTGAGACAGGGGGGCCGCAAAGGAATCGAAGCCCCTGCAAAAATCAAGAACAATGCTTAGCATCTATAGGAAGATAAGACGTTATGTTCATACTGTGCTATTTGTCATACACAGGTTGTATGGCTCCCGTACTTCATGCGCTGGGCTCAGAAATATCCATGTTTGTTCCAAAGAGAGCCACCAGTTGCTCTTCATAGTTCGCGATGTTCCTTTTCATAATTTCCATGCAAGGTCCCAATAGCCTTTCAAAAGCTTGTACATCCATAACTAAAATATTAAAAAAAGAGAGAGAAATTACATGCAGATACACCCAGTGGTGGGATTTAAATAATTTAACCACTGGTTCTGGGTAGGCGTGGCTGAGTGGTCATGTGACTGGGCGGGCGTGGCCAATTCAACGTCACTCATTACACTGAGCTCCGCCTCCCGGCCACTCGCCTCAAAGGCAGAAGTGGGATTCAGCCATTCTGACCGGTTCAGGCTAATCCCACCACTGACTGCCCACCCCCCCTCCACCCGCCCTTTTTTCGGCCGCTTTTCAGGCCACTTCTCAGGCCGCTTTCTGGGCCATGTTTTCAGGGCGTTTTTCAGCCATTTTCAGGACGTTTCCGAGCCATTTTTCAGCCGTTTTCAGGCCCAAAAACGCCCATAAAAGGACCCCAAAATAGCATGAAAAACAGCTGAAAAACAGCCCCAAAAACGAGTGGTGGCGGGGCCAGCCAGTGGTGGGATTAGCCGGTTCGCCAAACTGGGCAGAATTTTAACAACCGATTTTCCCGAACCGGCTGAATCCCGCTTCTGGATACACCATGGGGAGAGCAGGAAAGTAAATTATTTCTATGGACAAATTTCTTCTCTGAAATTGTAAATGGAGACTAAAACATATGAAGAACAATTGGAGGATTTGGGTTTGGCTAGTCTAGAGAAAAGAAAGGACTAGGGGAGACGTGATAGAAGTCTTCCGGTATTTGAGGGGCTGCCCCAAAGAAGAGGGGGTCAATTTATTTTCCAAAGCATCAGAGGGCAGGATAAGAAGCAATGGATGGAAACTAATCAAGGAGAGAAGCAACCTGGAATTAAGGAGAAACTTCCTAACAGTGAGGACAATTAACCAGTGGAACAACTTGCCTCCAGAAGTTGTGAATGCTCCATCCCTGGAGGTTTTTAAGCCATGACTGGACAGTCACTTGTCTGAAATGGGGGCTGGACTAGAAGATCTCCAAGGTCCCTTCCAGGTCTATTCTGATATTCAATGTCTTGTTTGTTTTGTTCTTCGTTTCTTTCTGTATAAAGCTTTTTTAAAGACCTACGTCTTTCCCCTTTTTAAATGGAAATTTTAAATTTGGTTTTAAAGTATTGGGGTTTTAAATTTGTTCAGCCAAATTATTTAATTCGTTTTATTCTATTTTAAATTTTGTATTTATATTGTTTTATTTTATGGCTGTTCACCGCCCTGAGTCCTTCGGAAGTAGGGCGGTATACAAATTCTATAAAACTAAAACTAAACTAAATTTTTGTTGACTTTTTTGTAATTAAAAAAAAAAAGCTACCCCAAAAACGGAAACAAACTTATGTTCCAAAATACAAGGCCCTCTGACTTACTTAAGCACTTGACGGTGCCAAGCGCGAAGGCCGAGGCAGCTCGAGGTTTGTTCGTTACAAGCGCCAATTCGCCAAAATACTGCCCTCTGGTATAGCGGGCGATTTCCACTGCTTCGTTTCCATCTATGTCTTGTTTGCCCTGAGAAGGGGGAAAAAAAAAACAACAACCATCCAAACATTTATCCCAATAAAGCCAAGCTGAAATTCATTTTATTAATAAATTCAGTGTTAATACATTATTTTAAAAAGGGATGCGGTGGCTCAGTGGCTGAGACGCTGAGCTTGTCGATCGAAAGGTCGGCAGTTCAGCGGTTCGAATCCCTAGTGCCGCATAATGGGGTGAGCTCCTGTTACTTGTCCCAGCTTCTGCCAACCTAGCAGTTCGAAAGCATGTAAAAAAATGCAAGTAGAAAAATAGGGACCACCTTTGGTGGGAAGGGAACAGCGTTCCGTGCGCCTTTGGCGTTGAGTCATGCCGGCCACATGACCACGGAGACGTCTTCGGACAGCGCTGGCTCTTCGGCTTTGAAACGGAGATGAGCATCGCCCCCTAGAGTCGGGAACGACTAGCACATATGTGCGAGGGGAACTTTTACCTTTCACATTATTTTATTCAATTTAACTTAATCAATCAAAAACCTTTGTATGGTTTGAAAGAGACGGTACCTTTCTTTTCATCGTAATTTTCACTTCTCCGGATTCGACAATATAGAAACTGTCAGCCGTGTCTCCCTACAGATAATTTAGAATAACAACAAAAAAATAAAATAAAATAAAGACAATTGTTTAGTAATTCCACAGTTCTTGTTTTTTTAAAGTAGAAACTTTTTTTTAAAAAATGCCCAAATAAATTCATCGATTGATCAGTCAATCTCAGAAATGGTACAAATAAAATAATAGTAATATTATTGTCGGCGCTTGAAGAAATTTAGCAGGCGCTGAATAAAAAGTAGCTGTACCTTCTCTACAAATTAATCATTTGCTAATTACAGGTTGTCCTCGAATTACGACCACAACCGAGCCCAAAATTTACGCTGCCGAATGAAACATTTGCTAAGTGAGTTTGCCCCGTTTTATGGCTTTTCTTGCCACCGTGGTTAAGTGAATCATTGCATTTGTTAAGTTAGCAAGATGGTTGTTAAGTGAGTCTGGATTCCCCATTGATTTTGCTTGTCAGAAAGTTGTAAAAGCTGATCACATGTCCCTGGGACACAGCAACCGTCATAAGAATGAACCACTTTCCAAGCATCTGAATTTTGATGCTGCCAAAGTTGTGTGAAAAATGGTCGTCAGCCACTTTTTTCAGTGCTGCTGTAACTTTGAATGGTCACTAAATGAACTGTTGTAAGTCGAGGACTGCCTGTATTCTTAAGATTTGTGCTAAGAGAAATATAGTGTGCTTTGTCTAACTGGTTCAGGGGAAAGATAAAAAAAGTTGCTGTCAGCTGCCATCTTATACTTTGGTGCTTCCCTGCTAAGCGGTAACAGACTGCCATGAACTGTGGGGAGAGGAAAGAAAGGGGGGAATACTTGGGGAAGCGAAAGTAAGTACTGTTATCACCTCGAGAGGCTGCCTCAAGGTCACCCAGCGGGAAGAAGGAAGGGGCTGCATACCAAACTATACTTGGACTGACCGTTATGAAAACATCTTGCCGTAACCGGATTGGTTGCACCGGGAGGGGCAATGAGAGACAGTAAAGGGAGGGAAAAGTTGAATTTAAGGATTTTGGTGTGCGATTTTCAGTTCTGGCTTTGCACTACTGCAATACACTTGATCTCTAATAAACCGTTGGAATTCATTGCTGGAATGTATTTCTATAAAACAACTACAGTAATATTCAGCCGGTAGATGGCAGTGTTTACAAGTTTGGATCTATGGTATATACCCGTGATGGCGAACCTATGGCACGCATGCCACAGGTGGCATGTGGAGCCATATCTGTGGGCATATCTGTTGCCCTAGTTCAGTTCCAGCGTGCATGCATGCACCGGCCAGCTGATTTTTGGGCTTTCCGGGCCCACCAGAAGTTGGGAAACAGGCTGTTTTCAGCCTCCAGAGAGAGTGGGGAAGGCCGTTTTCGCCTTCCCCAGGAACCTAGAAAGCCTCTGGCGCCTGGGGAGGGTGAAAAACAGGCCTTCCGGTCCCACTGGAAGTCGGGAAATGGGCCGTTTCTGGTCTCCGGAGGGCCTCCGGGGGGGGGAGGCCGTTTTCGCCCTCCACAGGCTCCTACAAAGCTTCTGGAGCCTGGGGAGGGCAAAAAACAGGCCTACCAGGACCACCGTGCCATCACATGTCAAAAGCGGGTCAGGCATTGAATTATGGGTGTGGGCACGCACATGCGTGACTCTCCCGCGCTCCCCCCGCTTTTGGCACGTGACGGCAAAAAGGTTAGCCATCACTGGTATATACTGTATGCTCTTTTGTTCCAAATAAAGTTTCCTGTTACAGATAAACAGAGCAGCAGTAAAGCACATGGTGACTGTACTCTGTTTGCTCTATAGTGCTATATATAAATAGAACGTCTAATATTTATTTCTCAACAAATGGAGGCAAAGATCGTTTTGATTTAGAGGTTTAAGTTATGGTAGGTCGAATAGGGGGGTTCTACAGGGGGGTTAAACTATGTTGTGCCTCAACCATCCTTTAATATCTCTTAACTCAGGAGAGTTAGAATAAGCCACCTTCCAGAAATCCAGGTGTTAAGAGAGCCATCATCATTATCTCTTTTTGAGAAGGGAGGGAGGGGACATGAAAAAAGAAAGAGATGAAAAGCTTTTAACCACTCTCTTTTCCAGGTGGAAAAATGGTATACCATCTCAACTAGGACACTACAGCTCATCAAAATAAAAACTACAGCATGGCAGCACACATGGACCACGGCAGGTCTCCCTGTCCTCTACTGTCTCCTGGTGTTTGCCCAAATTCATGTCCACTGTATCAACGACAGTATCTTACCATCTCGTCCTTGTGGCAAGATTGCACATGGCAATCACGTGACTAAGAGACGGTCAGGCATGAAAGACCAAGTCCACGCGTGAAGATTCAATTAAACTGATTTGTTGCTAAACAGCCTACACAGAGGAACCTTCTCAACTAACAGTCGGCATCTGCTTTGAGTTAGATAAGGGGCCATGGAATTCAAGGGAGGTTGGACTTAGTTCGCTTGTGACTACGTAGGGATTCTAGGCTGATCCTTCTTTTGACTCCGCCTCCTTGGTTCTGCCATTCTTTCTCCCAGACTAACCACTGTAATTGTGAGCTGCTTGCCAAGCTCCCAGATCACAATCACATGGCCATTGGGACGCTGCAACAGCTGCTACTTCCAGGACTGGTCGTAAGTCCCCTTCATTCAGCTTCGTCATAACTTTGAGCAGATGCTGTAAAAGAGGTCGTGATACAAGGACTACGTATAATCATGCAAAATTTTCAGCTATGTATTTTTTTTTCAATCCCACTGGTTTTGTCTCAGACAATCCTTTATAGTAACAAATCATCGTGCTTTTAAATAACTAGAGAGCAACAGAATAATAAACACTATAATAAATAATAAACAAAAATTTTAAAAAATATATAGAACAATTAAGTAATTACCTGAGCTATTATTTGTTCCCCGTCTTTATATATTTTGGTACCTATGACGTCCACCACTTTCAAACGTTCAGAAAGCTTAAACAGAAAATAAAATAGATTTTGTAAATATATACACACACAGACATATTTTATAATCTCACAACTGTAATGGAATTCGTCACTGTTGCTGTTACGTGCTGTGGTACTCTTAATTTGTTTTGTAGCTGAGCTCTGAAATGGATTCCAAAGTTTTGAGGAGGTTTTTTCCCCTGCCCTTATTACATTAATTTCAAATTTCTTTTTGGAACCCATTGTTGCAATAGATTTCTTTATACACGAGTTTCAAATTTCATGCTAAATCCCACTTCGAAACCAGAGGTGGGAATCAGCCGGTTTGGGCGAATTGGTAGGAGCGACCTGCGGGCCCACCCGGAAGCTATGCCGTTCTATTTAGCCATATTTTCTAAGAAAATGCAGAAGGCGTGCACCCACTCACATTTTCGGTGCTTGGCGAAGCGGTTGTTAAATTATATGAAACCCACCTCTGTTCAGAACCCATAGAGCTAGCCACAATAACATATTTAAGATATTATTTAGAAAAATATATAAGACCTGACTTGAGAATGGCAAAATTGGAATAGTGCGCTGATGTTTTATATCTAGAAAATAAAGGAGAAATGCAGATAGGACGCAGCAAAGTTCACACCAATTTAGCTGAACAACGAAGATACCGTTTATTCTATTTGGTAGAAATTACTCTAAAAGAAACACTTGCATATTGTTGTTTTTTTGCAACAATGATTGGAATTTAGCAATTGTAAATAAATTATTATATTATGTTTAAATAACGTATAAGGTTTAAGAAATATATTATTATATAATCATTAGTATATTATGTATTAGTTTAAAGTGTTGGAAGATGCTTGGGACCAGTGATGTCATATCTATGTCCAATGTTTTTAATTTTGAATTATTAATAAAAAACTTTTTAAAAAATTTAAAAAAAAAAGAAAATAAAACTATACCAGTTCCTAAGAGAAAGGGCAGGTTGCGTACAACGTACACTTGATGGTAGTTTAGCATATATTTAGAGATACACATCAAGAAATATTTATGCACCAGAATCAAGACATATCTATAACTATATCTATACAGGTAGTCATCAACTTAGAACAGTCCATTTAGTGACTGTCCCAAGTTACAACGGCACTGAAAAAAGTGACTTATGACCATTTTTTACACTTATGGCCGTGGCGGTCATGTGATCAAAATTCAGACACTTGCCAACTGCCTCGTATTTATGACGGTCGCAGTGTCCCGGGGTCAAGCCAGATTCATTCAACAGCCACATTACTAATTTAATACCTGCAGTGATTCACTTAACAACTGGGCCAAGGAAAGTCATAAAACGGGGCAAAATCCACTTAGCAAATGTCTCGCTTAGCAACATGAATGTTGGGCTCAATTATGGTCGTAAGTCGAGGACTACCTATAATTACAACCTCCCGGCGTTCAAGGGATACAACCGGGAGTAATGACTCTGGCTCCGTTAGCCCTCAATGATAAAAACAGGTATGATTTACAAACTATGTAAGACTTGACTTGAGAATGGTAAAATTGGAATAACTCAAGTTCCTTCTCCTTCACAAACAACACAATTGAAATTTATTTATTTATTTATTTATTTGATTGATTGAGTGATTGATTGATTGATTTATATTGCCATCTATTCGCGCATAGCGACTCAAGGCGGCTTACAGCACATAAAAAGCCACATATAAAAAACAGTAAGACTCATAAAAAATCAAATAAATTAATGTAATAAAATCACCCCTGACTCCCACCTCCCACCCCAGCGACAGCCGATCACACGAGTCATTTAATGGGCTCCATCCCGCTCTGGGTTCCCCAGGCCCGCTGGCAGAACCAGGTCTTCAGCGCCTTCTGGAAGAGAATTAGGGTGGGGGCCTTTCTAAACTCTGGGGGGGGGAATGATGTTCCAGAGAGAGGGAGCCACCACTGAGAAGCCCCTTTTTCTGAGTCCCACCAGGTGTATCTCCCTCGGGGATGGAACCTGCAGCATTCCCTGCCTCCCTGCTCAAATGGGTCGGGTAAATAAATAATAAATAAATAAATAAATAAATAATTTTATTTCTATACCGCCCTTCTCCCGAAGGACTCAGGGTGGTGTACAGCCTATTAAAAACACAAGACAAACATCAGTTAAAATAGTTTAAAATTATTAAATGAATTCGGCTCAATTTAAAACCCCAGGAATTTAAAACCCAATTTAAAATTGTTATGTTGATAGCCCAACCTGGCGGAACAACAGGGTCTTGAGTGCACATCGAAATGCCCGGAGGTCGGAGATCTTACGCATTTCCGGGGGCAGTTCATTCCACAGGGTTGGGGCTCCCACAGAGAAGGCCCTCCCCCTGGGTGTCGCCAGCCGACATAACTTGGCTGATGGCACCCTGAGGAGACCCTCTCTGTGGGAGCGGACTGGCCGGTGGGAGGCTATTGGTGGCAGAAGTCGGTCTCGAAGGTACCCGGGTCCTATGCCATGGAGCGCTTTAAAGGTGGTGACCAACACCTTGAATCGCACCCGGAAGACCATTGGGAGCCAGTGCAGCTCGCGCAGGAGGGGTGTCACGTGGGCACAACGAGTTGCGCCCATAACCACCCGCGCGGCCGCATTCTGGACTAGCTGGAGCCTCCGAGTGCTCTTCAAGGGGAGCCCCATGTAGAGAGCATTACAAGATGTGACCGGCAAGAGAGGGTCCCTCAGATCACCTGGTCCCAAGCCATGAAGGGCTTTAAAGGTGACAATCAGCACCTTGAATTGCACCCGAAAGCAAATCAGCAGCCAATGCAGCTCCCGCAGGAGAAATGATATACGTGCACACCGAGGTCTGCACAAAACCGTGTGGGCCGCTGCATTTTGCACCAACTGGAGCTTCCGGATGCTCTTCAAGGGCAGCCCCATGTAGAGCATGTTGCAATAGTCAAGACAGGAAGTGACTAAGGCATGAGTGACGGTGAGTAGGGATTGCCGGCCCAGGAAAGGGCGTAACTGGCGCACAACTCGCAGTTGCGCAAAGGCCCTCCTGGCCGTGACCGTCACCTGCTCTTCGAGCAGGAATCGTGAGTCCAGGAGAACCCCCAAGATTACACACAGGGTACCAAGGTCAGTTATGATAGAAAATCTGTAAATGCACCTATGACATTATTGTTTGACACCAAACAGCACATTCTGCGCAAAATGACTGAGATACGTCTAGCAAGCTGCACTTACTTCTAAAGATTTAAGGAAGGGCAACGACTCAATGAAATTTTCATACATTCTTCTCTTTTTCGCGTTGTTTTTCACAATGATCCTTCGAAACGTTACTCTGTCCTAAAAAAATAAAACAATGCACAAATAATAGTTAGCGTGTGCGACATTCATGATAATGCAAGCAGTCTTTTTTCATGGCAGTAAATGGTACATGCTCTGTGGTGGTTAGTCAAGAACCTGATGTGTATTTGCACACGTGTAAGCCTAACCATGTTCAGTGGACTGTTTTAATTCTCAGTTAAGTGTCAGCCTCCAAAAATCAAGATACAGCGGTATTCCAGGAAGTGTAATGAGTACCAAAAACGATGAGTACCATACTTTTTCCATAAGGAATAAGGTTGTGAGTCACAAGGCACCCGGCAACGACAACTTCTAGCTTGTGCGTTGAGAATCAAGCAAACGATGATCACCGGGACAAAAAGTTTCACGTCAAAATGAGTTGCGTACCAAATTTGATGAGTTTCAAAGCAATCGAGTGTTGTGGCTCCGTTGCCTGAGCCTGGGCTATCGACAGATGCAGACTCTGAGAGTGAGGGAGAGCAGTTGGCAAGGCCTCCCTCTCCAGGACCCTCCTCTCTGGCAATGCCTCCGGAGGACACCGAAGGCCAAACGATAGGCCCAGAGCCAAGCACGTCCCCGCAGCCACAGGTGGACAGCGATGAAGAAGATAAGTGCTGGCTGGACCCTCGGCAGAGGCGCAGGGAGAAGCGTGCGCAGCAGAGGGGAAGGCGTGCCAGAGATTAGCTGAGTCACTGGACCACACCCCACAGGGTATAAATGTGGGTGTGGTGGCCGGTTCAGTTTGTGACGAGCAAAAACTGGAAATAATCCATGATCTCTGCGTTACTGGACTTTGCCTGCTTTATCGGACTGCATTTGGATTAATCCTTGTATTGTTGAAACTCTGCCTGTTTTATCGGAATGCTTGCAGTCTAATCTTTGTTTTGTGTGAGTAAAGTCTGAATTGGCAGCTAGCCACTGGGTTGCTGCCAGCTTTATCTTCAAAGAGTTTTGTCGTATGGCTTATTAACTCCGGGCCGTCTGTGGGGGTGCATGTGTGGTACGGGGACAGAACATCGAGTAACAAGGTACCCCTGTCGAAATTCTCTTAAGTATGTCCCTTTATTGTTCCTCGCCTACAGACAGAATCTTGCCAACTAAAGCAGACTGCTTGCACTATAAAGCATATACTCTGGGAACTATTAGGGAGGAGCTGTTCTCATCCTCTTTCTTCCACACAAGCTATCTTGCACATTTTGTGCAATCAGCTCCAGGTATTAACAGATTCGAACGGGGGCATCTGCGAGAGAGTTTTAAAAAAATAAAAACCGCCCCCAAATGGCGACTACAACCTGGGTTGAAACTTCACCCTTTTTTAGTGCGCTAATGGGGCAGGATTTTGGCTGCACAGTTGTGGCTGTCGTTCTTGATTCTCTGACACACACACACATATACACACCCATATCTGGGCTCTCCTGGATTTGAATTCTTTTGTAATTTCTCATACTGGTGAAGCTGGGAAAACTCTCCCCTTGTTTTGGAGCGATACTCAATTACAGACATGGATGAGTGGTGCAGTGGCCTAGAGGTGGCGCTCTCGCCTCACAATCAGGAGGCTGTGAGTTCAATCCTAGGTAGAGGCAGACATTTCTCTCTCTGGGCACAATGAGAATATATCTGCTGAAACAAAACTCCGCACTGGCAACAGGAAGGGCATCCGGCCATTAAACACTCCGCTAGTTCCATTCAGTTGCCAAGACTCCACCCCGCGAAGGATTATGAGGTGGTTAAAAGACGATGACGAATCAGAAAATCTTCCACTTGCTTTGAACCGTTTATGGAGGTGCTGATGACGTTACCTAGTTTGGTAATGAAACGTCTGCGAGAAAACCTCCAAGCTCAGAGAGTACCAAGGACCCAACAGGAAGAAATAATATCTCACCAAACCCCAAATGGTGCCAGGAGAAGTAGCAACGATAGTAGCCGCTCGGGGTGTGTTGTACATTAAAGCCAATTCACCAAAACTCCCTCGGTTGTCGTAGGTGCCAACGCATCTTCCGACACCGTCGCATTTCACAACAATATTGTAGGTCCCTCTGAAAAGTGCAAAATGAAACCCAGCTGTGACAAGTGTTGGAAAAAGGCAATATTTGCATCGTTAAACAACTAACAATTCAACACAACTAAATTTCGAGGGGAAAACTCCCCGTAAGATCTATCACCTTTGCAACATGCACAAAGAGTTTGATTTTGCAGGATCCTTCCCCTGGAGTGAGGTGGGAATGGAGATTTTGCAGTATCCTTTCCCTGCCACGCCCGCCACGCCACGCCCGCCAAGCCACACCCACAGAACCAGTAGTAAAAAAATTTGAATTCCACCACTGCCATGGATACTTACTGATCAATTACATAGAAGTTGTCCCCGTCATCTCCTTGATCAATGACGTGCTCTCCTCCGTCAACCAGCTTTTCAAACATGGCATCCAGGACCTGAGACATCTGTTCCTGTTAATCCATCAATTTGATTATTGCAGTCACTGACATGAGAATTAAATCATCCGCTTTGTCCTTCATTAAGAACGCAAAAGTAAGAGGATCATTTTTTGAAGACCAGTTTCCAAAGATGGTTCCTTGGAAATTGAAGCTCAGCATTCATCTTCGGGTTGTCTTGTGGTCAACAGTCCCATTCTCTTTGTTAGACGTGACCCATGACTCTCTCTAGGCCAGAGTTCCCCAAACTTTCCGGGTTGGCGGCCCGGAGCGGGAGGGAAGGAGGGAAAGAGGGGATGATTTTGTGGGAGGGGCAAGCACATGTGTGGGTGAGCACCCGCGACACTCACGGTGAGGCTCTCACGAGTGGGACCGCAAGCGCCCAAAAGGAGGCTCGTGTGAGTGGGCTTGCGTTCGCATACAGAGCAGAGGGGGGCTTCACATACTGTAGCAACCGGTTCGCACCGGAAATGTGAGCATGTGCAGCGTCACAAAACATGGCAATTTACTTGCGCTGTCCGCACATGCGTGCGACGTCAAACAACACGGCAATTAGCTTGCGTGTGCCGTCCACACGTCTGCGGCATCAAAAACACAGCAATATAGGACAGGATTGCGCCTGGGAGGGGCCCACCACAGGTCACCACACCCAACCCACCACACTCGACCCCACCTGCAGGTTGCCACTACCAGTTCGCTCAAACCGGTCCAAACCGGCTGAATACCACCTCTGACACAGAGCCTCAGTGGCGATAAGCCCGCGGCACAGTAGTGGCCCACGGCCCACAGGTTGGGGACCCCTGCTCTGGCCCAAATGCATCCTCTCCCTCTTTCTTAGCAGAATCGTGAGACGGAGAAGAGAATTTTCTATCCGGGCCTTGGTTTAGCAGCTTAACTTTTAAAGAACATTTGAAACTGATAAACCAAAGGCAAAAAGAAGTTGTTGTGTATGTTACAAGGTTAAAATACAAATTCTGCCCCTTAAGTGCAATTGTCCACGAGTTACGACCACACCTGAGCCCCCAATTGATGTTGCTAAGTTAAACAATTGTCAAGTGAGTTTTGACCCATTTTGCGACTTTTCTTGCCACCGTTGTTAAGTCAGTCACTGCAGTTGGTAAGTTAGTAACATGATGGTTAAGTGAATCTTAATTTCAATCCTTGGCTTTGCTGGTCAGGAGGTCACAAATGAGGATCATGTGACCCCGGGACACTGCAAGTGTTATAAATATGAATCGTGGGGATGCTGCAGAGGTCGTATCCATGAAAAATGGTCGTAAGTCACATTTTTTTCAGTGCCATTGTAACTCTGAATGGTCACTAAATGAACTGTTGTAAGCCAAGGACTACCTGTACTGTGTGAACCATTGTTGGTATCTCTCTTTTTTTTTTTTTTGCTTCTCTC